AGCATTTCATTTGGACTTAGAGAGCAGCAAACCAAAGAAAAGCAAACAAATCCACATGAGAGGTCTGGTCCAGCGACCCAGTCTAATCAGACTGCATACGAGGTCCTCTCGGGTCCAGCCTAACCAGCTCTGTGACCGTGCAGCAAATCAGACAACGAGTGACTACATGCAACAATGGAGAATTAAGTGGTGTACAGGGTGCGAGTCAAGCCATGGACGATGCAACCAAAAGCATGCGAAACGTCTTAGCCGAGATCCCCTCGGCAGTGGGTGTCCTAATCATTTGGGTCCAAAGGGCTCTTCTTGTTTGGGCCCGGTCCCACTGGGTCCCAGAGGTCCCACGTAGGCCGCGACCAGGTCCCAACCAAGAGGAGTCCCACATGGACTCAGTTCAGTTTCTACCGCACCGAAAAACGAAATTTCAACTTCCGGCAGAACCGACAAACTACAACCGTTCAAAGATGAAAAGACAAAGCACTGTAGAAAGAATCGGCATTCAAATCAAGATACTTCGTTTCTCCATCCATCAGGTGAGTAGGTAGATCATACACATTCAATCACATAATCAACACCATTGAGGAGTAGGAAAAGAAACCTAGAGTAACCCCAGCAGGACAATTCATACCATGCACACATACATGGGCATCCCGTAGGTGCACGACACTTACCTGAGTGGCCTTGAGCTTCGAGATGAATAGAACTAAGCCCCCTCTCATGTGATCCTCCTGACCCCTCTAAGGCTACCCCTACGCTAGTGTCCTATCTCTTAGGAGGGTCTGACTCCAACACCAAAGTGCAATGTCGGATCCCCCGTCGATGCTGAAGAACAAAGTAGCAACTTGCAGTCCGTAGATGCTGAGTGGCCGCTGACCTTCAAGCTCGCCTACTTGAGGGCAGCCCTTTAAGTTGCCAAGTGTCTCCCTTGAATCAGATTCCAGCTGCGAGTGCCTCTCACTGTCGCCTCTCTCGAATTGCCGCATGAAATCTCCTCGAAATGTCTCGCCACCACTCTCAAGCAACCTGGTTAGGTTCAATGTCGACCCCACATGACCTAACCAGGTGGGGGCAGCTTCCCTTAGCCACGCTGCCCCACTTCCCTTACATTCAACCCTAACCCTAAGTGTTGCCCTCAACCACTTAGGTTAGGGTTAGGCCAGCAAAGTCAACTCTCACCAGCAAGTAGAATCCGCTCCGATACCAATGTTATGATCCTGGCCAATTTCGAGATACACATCCATCAGATAGTACAATGTCGTCCAATTGCAGAAAGAAATGAATGAACTTGAGAGGCGAGAGAGGATTAGAAGAAGAAGAAGTAAGCAAGAAGAAGAAGATGATGTACACCAGCATAGACAGATGACAAGGCTCTTCTTCTTCGCCCAACAATCTCCTACTCCTTATCTCCCCCTTCTCTTATTCATACAAGAAATAATAATGCAATGTTGAATGGCTGATCCAGAATCAATGTCCGAGTTCCTCTTCTACTGCCGGCATCACTTGAGGTCCACCATAGACATGGCCGCCTCTTCCTCTCTTCACTCTCATAGGCCGAGGCTATGGCGGACTACTAGGCCTTGCCCAGATGCCCAAAGGACAACCCAAAGCAGCTATGGCTGCTCCAACTCAGGCCGCCATGCCCGACTCTGCCTCGAAGCTCCTTGGTGTAGCTCTCCCCAGTTGGGGACTCCCTGCTGCAGCGCCCACCAAGGTGATGAAGATGGCTGCCACAATAGCCCGATAAGTACCCCTGGCGCTCCTCCCCCTTCCTGTCCTTCTTCCTCCTTTGTGTCCTTCTCCTTCCCCCAGCAGCGCTGCTCCGGATAGCGCTGCTCCAACCGGCGCTCCAACCAGTGTGTCGCCAAACTTGCACACCAAGAATGAGGCCGGGCTCTTCGCCCGGCTGGGAGATATAGCGGCCTGCTGCCTCTTCGGGGGGTGACTTCCAGGCCGCTCGGCCTTCCAAGCAACCGGTACCTCCTCCCTTTCGGAGGGAAACATCATTGCAGACTCTGATATTGCCCGTACAGGCCCTAGACCCAGACTGGTTGGACTGGTACCCGCCTAGACCTAACCTACAACTACTGGGCCTCTAAAAATGCCATTTCTGTCTTCTTCTGCTCGGCCTCCAGTACCCGCACATCTACCTATTCAAGGTGTGGTACCGGCCTACCCGCTACTTGAGTGTTTTTCCTGCTGCAATCCCTCAATGTCACGGCCACAGGTAAGTACCGGCCCTGAGGGGCCAATGAACGAGCAAGTACGCTTGTGGGCCACACACACACTCAAGCCAACCAGCACTCAGCCAGGCACGGCCACACACACACACTCAAGCCAACCAGCACTCAGACAGACAGTCCAGCAAGTGTGCACACACAGACTTAGTAGCAGGCGGGAAACTCGGTAAGGCGTTCAGTCTATGGGCAAAACTCAGAAATCAGCCGTGTTTCAGTCCATGTTTGGACGGGTCATCACACTAGTCAAACTATTTTCCTCGCGGTAAGAAGAGATTGAAATGGGAAGATAAGGTAAAGGAACAGCGTACCTGAAGATAATTGAGCCGATGTGCATTTTGATGGCCAGTCATAGCCTTGGTACCACACACAATGCAATGGAGTGCCACATCAGCCAAAATGCCATGTCAGCATGTTCTCATCATTCCACATACATCCACTGTCGCCACGACTCCAACGCGGTTGCCACAGCCTTGCCGCCAAGCTCCCCTCTACCCGGGAGTGGCCAAACCAGCCAGCACCAATGTATCCTGCGAAGAAGCTTCGTCAGCGCACCAAGTAACAAAAGCACCAACGCCGCTGATCGGCGATCTTTGAACCAGCTCCGATACCAGATTGCAAGGAATATGATCGAGAGAGAGAGACAGAAATCCAAATTGCAAAATCACGCAGAAGTCCAGATAGTCATGTACCAAGCAGAGAGCACAATGCGCCAAGACACCCTCCAAATAAGAACAATACAATGAACTCAAATGTCAATGCCGACCCTCTCTGGCCACACCAACAAAGTATCCAATGTCGCTTCTACTAATTGGCGCCCAGTGCCCAGCCTACACTACTCAGCCTATCTAGCCTATCTGTGTTCATGCATCAGGACCACATCGAATTTGAAGACCAAATGTACACGACATCGTCGCAAATGCAGGCTGCCATCATACACCAGGTACATGTCGCACGCCTCTCCTCATCACCCCTGACTCCCCTCTGCATGTGCCTCCTACCCGAAGACCACCATCGCCATCACCATGCATGCGCCCAGCAGCCCGGGCTATGGCTGCCGTGCGCCCTCTGCCACAGCAGTGCCCCTCTCACCTCCAGCGCCCGTGCGCGCGTCTGGCCCGCAGCTCTAGCGCAGCAGCTTCGTGCGCTAATGCAGCAGCATGGCCGCATTGCCCACTCAGGCCAGAATGCGTTGCCCCTGGGCGCTCACTTTCCTTTATGGAAAGTGAGCCTGGCTTCTGCGTGCTCTGGGCCTGGCGTGTAGGGGCCCAGTAGCTTCAGGTTGGCCCAAAGTATCTGCGCCCAGGCCCAGTTTCAGATACTGGCCTGGGCCCCGTGCAGTTATGCACGTCCAGGTAGCCCACCAGGCTCCAAGTGTTCGGTGCGATCTAGGTAGCCCACGAGGCTCCAAGTGTTCAGCGCGATCTCATTGGCTTGTGGCGTATGTGTGATGCAGGAGCTGCTTTCTCATTGGTCCGCGGCCGCTATGTGACATATTGGCCTTTGATTGTCTGTGCCCAGCTGCTGTTGCTTCTGGAAGGAACCAACTGGCGTGCTTCAACTGTCTGATGCCCCACATCGAAAAAAATGGCAAAAATAGGCTTCACACAAATATGCAGGCCCGCCTTCACTTAGGGCAAAAGGCTTGCTGGGGCGTTGAGCCCAGAACGTCTGTGAGCCCCAAAGGGGCTATATGAGGGCTCAATCCTTGCATTAGGCTTTGCCCGGCTACACTGGGCCTGAGACTGGAGCCCAGCCCAGTTTACTACCAAGTAGGCCCTACCCCCCAGTTAGTTACGTATGCTGGGACTCAGACTCGGACCGATAGGCAGTAGGGACTGCGTACTTGGTCCCAGACCCCAGCCTCAAGCGAAGACAAAAGATAGGAGGCTGTGGGCGAAGGGACATTCAGGCATTGACAACAGTGCAGCAAGACTGGAGCAGCGAGTGTGAGATGGTGTTTGGGTGATCAGGGAAGAGGAGGACAGTGGTGGGAACTGGCAGTACTTACCTGGTGTTGGCCGAGGAGCACTCAAGTGATCAGACTCTCAGCGACATTTGGCAAGAGGCTTGTAAACAGAGAGAGTGTGTGAGGGAGTATATCAGTTGGCATAGTAGGAGAGTACAAAAGGTAAACACATCATAGTAGCACTGCTACTTCGTTGTTGTATTGATTATTGGAGGCAAGAAGAGGGCTTTCATTGTTAAGGAATTGTTGTGCCCTAGGCTTTGTAATTCTGTTTTCAACTCAGCTTGTTCATGATTGGCCTTCTGTGAGCTTTTGGGTCTTGAAAAGTTGTACAATCTCATTGGATGGTTCCTTGCAAAAAAATAGGGTTCCCTACAGTCTTATTGGTAGCCAAAAAACAACAATCCATGAAATCCATGCAAGTCAAATGCAACCACCCAACTGCTTCAGGCCTAAGTCATTTCATGCAAGAAAATGTCAAGAACAAAATAAATAAGGAATGACCTGATGTCAATCACTCATCCGCTGCTGCCCCCAATAAATCAGTGGAGATCGGTCTAACTGTCGGTCCTAAGACAAGAAGCAATGGAAAAAGAAGTGATGTCATCCCAGGAAGTGAAATCTAACTAATCAATTGGATTTCAGGTTTGCATTTCAGGAGTGAACTTCAACAAAGGAAAGACAGGATGATAAGCTCAGTGCATGCAAAACAGTTTATTCTGCCTTATTGACACTGAGCAATGGCTGATCTGCACAGTGAATGCACGGATGTACCGACTGTACAAACTGTGGAACAACAGGGAACACGGCAGGGCACCAACACATCCACAAAACTGCTGAACACACACTTGAGGCGCCTGAAGATGGAGGTGGTCCCACGAACAATCAGTTTGCGAGAGGGATCCATCCAACAAATCACTGCCCGGCTTCTCAGGGCCCCAAATGACACAGTTTTCCTGTTTCCATCGCTTGCGGATACCTCCATCGGTATGTGCTGACTACTTTGCAATAGCTATGCATTTATGTTTCATTATCATGGCTTGCTGAAAGTTTATGACAACATTGAGGATTCAACAAATATGTTCTGACAAGTGAATTCAAAATATGTGTCTGGAAGTGCCAGCTGTTGCAAAGAGTCAGCCAGGCTACATGCCCAGTGGCTGACTGTCAGCATCAGCCTGACACAAGTGCACAATGAACTGCTCCTCTGCAAAAACGACAGGGAATCAGACAATAAGGGCATACCGTCTGTGTTGGGCAGAAACCCATCTGCGAATATGCGAGAACTGACGACACAATCAGACATTTGGTTCAAGAAGAAAAACTAAACCCGGTCATAACTCATCTCACAAGCTGTGAAGCTCTAGGAATACATGATTCATACAATGTTGAAACTTGATACATTATAATGTATGTCGCGCATCAGCAGAAGAACTCAATGCAGTTGCAATGATCAGTCACGGTCACTGTCAGAGAACTCTGTTCTTGCTTAGATTTCTCTGTCCGAGTGCTTTTGGCTTCTACGAGGATATGGCTCCTTGGCAGGCCTAAGGGGCCCCCTTTTTAAAGTGTGCCCGCCCTAAGTGAAGGCGGGCCTGACAAATAACGAGAGGTCCATTGCTGTGAATTTCGTATTTGGGCTTAGGCAGTTGTGTCGCGTCAGTTGGTTGAGGGAACCCAGGCCACGACCAGCAAAACTTTCCACAGCAGCAGCAGAGGCCCAGCTACCTGGGGCCTACAGGAAGCTCCTGGGCACAGGCCCAGCCCAGCCAGGCCGCAGGCCAGGCCAGACTCTTTCCATATAGGAAAGAGCTCGCTGCCTGGCAAGGCAGTCGGGCACTTGCTAGTTTGCGGCAGCGCTGCTGGAGTGGACGCTCGCAGGCTGCTGCTAGCGCTAGAGCAAGGTGCAAGCACATGTGGTCGTGTAGGAGGAAGGGCGCTGCTGCGGGCAGCGCCATGGCCCAGCTGCCATAGCTGGCTGGGGCTTGGACTTACAGCAAGCGGTAGTGGTGGTCTTCGTGAATGAGGGAGAAGACGTGGGTGCAAGACAAGGGAGAGAGAGAGAGAGAGAGAGAGAGAGAGAGAGAGAGAGAGAGAGAGAGAGAGAGAGAGAGAGAGAGAGAGANAGAGAGAGAGAGAGAGAGAGAGAGAGAGAGAGAGAGAGAGAGAGAGAGAGAGAGAGAGAGAGATGAGGATGATGACGTGAGGGCACATACCTGGTATTGGCTATAGTCTGCATTGGATGACATCTTCATGTATTTCAGTGGCTGCTGACATCAGCAATTGCATTGTCAATTCGTAGGCAGAGAGTAGCTGTGTTGGAGTAGCCTGGGCGCCGAGCGCCAAGTAGGGGGAAGGGCCTGGATTCTTATGTTGGTGATGACGAGAGTAAGCTCTCATTGACATCCGGCTTCAGTGTTTCAATTTTCCATTGGTGTATTGTTGGTGCAATGCTGCGTTCTGGACACTGTGGGACTTTCTGTCTCTCAATGCGATGGTGCAATCTGGATTCTGTCATCTCGCTATTGCTCATTTTCCTTGCAATTTGGTATCGGAGCTGGTTCAAACTACGCTTACTGGTTCTTCGCAATAGCTGTTCGGTGCTTCGCATGTGGAAGTGGGGCAGTGATAATGGTTAGGCGTTAAACGATAGGCGGCCCAGGGTCGTGTGGGCGCACCAGGAAGGCTATGCCATCCCTCAACTGTTGCTGTAGCTCATCATGAAGAGCATCTGCTTGTAAGATCTCATAATCTTCCGGCGTGAGTTGAGACTGTTGGCTGACTTGCGAGCCAACAGACTGACTAGTGGAAACTTGGGAGTAACCCTGACTGATACCTGATGACAAGGCCTGAGACGAGGTCTGTGACATAGTAGAGGCGGTAGCCATGGCTGCATTGGCGTTGGCTCTAGCGCCTGCTTCTACAACTGCTGCTAGTGCCCTTTCAGCTCTGGTTGTTGCTGTCGTAGCCCTCTGTAATGTCATCCTCTCCTTGGCTTCCCTCCGCAGCCTCCTTTCCTCTCCCTGGCCTAATTCCAGGAAAGTAGACTGAGTGCAGTCCTACGAGTAACTCTAAGGCCATCCACTAATCGTTCCTCCTCCTCACCGCTATCTTCTCCACTGATGAGCTACAGTGGTGTGTGATCTAAACTAGAATCCACACTGAATCCTACCTCAGCATGACATTCAACCGTCTAATAATAAACAACTAATTTCGGTCAGCCCGGAGGAACGTAGTGAAATGGTAATCAGAAATCAATGTCAGATCCTAAAGGTAATTCTATTTCTATTTTTAAATTATTCTAAAACAGATTGCAATGCAGCAAAGAATAGCTTATCCTATCTGCAGCTGTATGTTAGTTGTCAACCAAGTCCGTACAACTAAATAATCAAAAATAAAAACAAATCACCTGTGGAGATGCATGCTGGATGGAAATTTGTCTAATAAGTCCAGCGGCGAACAATTGACAGAATCTTCCTTCCCCCGTATCCCTCTTGAGTAGTCACTTATGTCGACGTCCTGAAATATTTATAGACGGTCTGGTGAGCGTCTCTTATAGGGCTGGCATGCCCAGCATGACCTCTAACAACGCAGCGAGCAGAACCGAGGACTTGCGGCAAAGCATGCATGTACTAGTCCCAGCGGGTTGGCATGGTGACCGTGACCCAAGTGCTTTGTCTAGGGCCCTTCAGAGGCTTTGCCCGTCTCCCACCAGCTTGCTGCCCAGGAAGAATGTCGACTCTCAAGGTTGAGCGCTCGCGACACCTCACATCAAGAGGACTCTCAAGACGGAACTCACTTCCTCAAGGTAAGAAGGAATGAAGAGGGTAGATAAGGATGAGAGCAACGTACCTCATAATGTTGCTCCCAACCACAGATTTCTCACCAGCAGCCTGACGTGCATTTATGATGACCGGTCTTTGCCTTGGCACAACAAGCAGCGAAGTGCAGTTCCACCTCGGCTTAAATGCCACATCAGCCAGTTCTCATCATCTAGTGTACACCCCAACGTCAAGAAGATTTAAACAAAAAAATAAATATTGACAGAAGGGCAAAGGCTAGAATGAGGAAAGTCGAACTAGGAGCTAGGATGCAGGAGTTAAGAGAACTAGAAGCACTAGAGGAGTCAACCCTGGATCTTGCGGTCAGGTCGTTGCGACATACACTGCTTTGTGTGGCTGAAACACGGGTAGTGCAGCATGAAGTGTTGGCCGAGCTAGTGGCCGACCAGAATCACATTATGGCAGCACTGCAGGCTCCTTGTCCTTTGATGAGACAGCGACAGTACTATGTAGCTCCCCCTTCGGTTGCGGGTCCAAGGTGGCGTCGTCGCCGGTAGGGCCCTCTTTCTCTCCCATGTTTGGTATTCTTGTCACAAGTGGTGCAACAACAATTAGTGGTCAGGTCCTTAGTACTTCTCCCCTACCATCAGTGACGGTGGCAGCCACAGTACCGCCGTCAAGATAGTCCCAGGTTAGCCTGCAGCAACCTGTTCCAAGGGCTACGCAGCCACTGCAGCAATCACCTGGGCCAATCCAACCCATGTAGTGGATGCCCAAGATTTCCTTGTGAAGTCCTAAGCCCTTCTCTGGCGACAAGAAGAAGGAAGAGGACCTAGACACCTGGGTGAGGACTGTGCCTACATATGTGAGGCACAAGCTCACAAGGCCAGAGCAGGAAGTTATAGTTGCTTCTTCCTTTTTAGAAGGTTTTGCAGCCCGATGGCTAAACGGTCTAGTGCAACAACAGGGCTATGGTCAAGACTTCGATGGCTAGGCCCAGACCCGAACATTGGAAGACTTCGTACGGACCGTGTACAATAGGTGGGATGACCCTCAAGTCTCAGAAGGCCACTGACGCATTGGTTAGTCTCGGTTCCAAACGGTACCGGTCAGTGCGGGAAGTCACAGACATCGTTGATCGTCTGATTGTAGTGTCCGACGTGCGTTATGAACCTCAAGTGCTCCTCACAGCTTATCTGTGATGTCTACCCAAAGACGTCAAGAACAAGCTGGTGGATGCGGCCAACATCGATGTCCATAACTTCTCTCCTTTCAGCAAGAAGGGCTTAGACATAGAGGCCAAACTTAGGACCGCACAGCAGGGACCAGTGGATGGTAGGAAGAAGAAGTTTCCCCAAGATTGGAGGAAGAAGGGCACTCTCATGTTCGTCTACCACGATGATCAGGCAAGTGAGATTGACGACTTCCCTGACAACGAGGAAGACACAAAGCACGATGGGGCTAGTCAGACTTTAGATGGGGGAGTCGTAGCTCCAATCAACGAAAAGGCTAAGGGGACCGGGAAGGAGAAGGTAGGCCGGTCTAAGGGTCAAGGCGACCAAGGAACACTAGTCAGGGTGAAACTTGGTTTAGATTACGAGGTTTGGAGGGACCGAGTTGCTAGGGTCACGTGTCTTGACTGTGGCAACTATGGCCACACGTCTAGAACTTGCCGAGGCAAGAAGGTCACAACGAAGGTAGCCGCCCCTACAATGGTGGGCTTACCTTCGAACTTTGTTGGTGCATCTGCGAGCTCTTCGCAGGTAAACACCTCGGGCCAGTAGGAGTTTTAGCTGCTCTTACCTATGCTGAAGTGGTAACGTTGCCTTCCCCACTTCAGGCATTGGCCAAGGCTATTGACTCAGTTATCACCCCACATACACATATAGACCCATCGATGCTTTGTTCGAGAGATGTGTCTAAGTCCTTAGAGGAGTTACAAGCTAAGTGGTCATGGAAGGACCCTAGAGACTCATGGGCGATGAGTATTAAAGGTCCTAAAGGTGGACATTTTGTGGTAGAGGTTGATGTAGGTGGCCGCAAAGTGGGTGCCTTCACAGACATAGGCTTTACACGAAATTTCATCACTCGTGCTTGTGTGGATAGGCTGAGCTTAGGGGACCAAGTGCAGCGGCTGAATAGATCTGTAACATCCACTTTAGCCAACAAGCACCAGATGGTTGTACAAGACTATGTGAAGGACGCAGTTTGCACCTTCTTCCATGGAGGAGGGGAACTGAGATACAAGATCTCGTTCCTTGTTAGCGACGAGCTGCCATTTGATATGTTGCTAGGCATGTACTACCTCGA